GTCCAAATTAAATGGCCTTTAGAGTAGCAAGATAAAATGTAGGAGCTCTCAATCAGTGCCTTCATAAAATCTTTATTGAAGCTCTAGAGTTTGTTTACCCAGCTGTTCCTCATTTGTGAAATGTTCTACTGTGAATTCACTGGGAACAATAAAGTGTTCAGTGATGTTACAGGTCCCTACTGAATTATTACATGACACTATTATACACACATAATCTACATGGTGGCAGTGCAAATATAGTGCATTTATTGCTGTACAGTTAGAGGGATACAATGGAGGTACATTTTAAATATGAAAAAGTCAGATGTTTAAACATCACATTTGATCACTACTGAACTGAAGGGGTCCTGGGGCCGAAGAATCAGCCGAAGCTACGGCTAGATCCTTCGGCTGCTTCGTGAATAGACCCCTAAGTTTTGGATAGTGTGGAGAGGGATTAAAACAGCCGTCATGGTTTAATGGTGTCTGTGTTCCCTTTAGGTAGATTCACTCTTTCTACATGTCCTGGTGACCATTATTACTGAAAGGGAAAGTAAAAGAAATCCAAAATTTTGGGTTTTCATCACAACAGGAATAGCGGGGACATTTTCCAATGGGGACACTAGTTCTGGTGACTCTGCTGTCCTCCTGGGATTTCCCTCTCTTCCTGTTGGCAGGCTTTAGGTATAAATTAAGCTGGCCATATATTGGTAGATTGTTGCCTGCAAGGTTATAAGAAAAATCTTGTCAGAACACTTGGTAGCACCCTTAGAGACTTGACGCATGTCATTTAAAATGTCTTTTGATTTCAAGATTCAGTTTAAATTAAAGCCTGATGGAGTTCCGCTCTAACAAACAACACACATATTTTCTGAATCTGCAATAATTGATCTGGTTTCTGTCCAGATTCCTGATATCCTTTTGCTGTGTTTTGTGAACATGAAGTGATATTTGTTTTTGTTTTTTGGATTATTGAGATTCGTCATACATATTTGTTTTTTTAAATTGACTGATCATTAGAATAACTGCTGTTCCCTTGAAGTAGCACTTGTGTCACAGTCACTTGCACAGTGCAAGGCCTGACATTGACAACTCCAGTAACAAGAGGAGAAGAACAGCAGCTGTGCCTTTGAGCAGGAATACTTGCCCTTTGCAAGAAATGGAATGGTGCTGTTCAGAATTACTTACGAATGACTTGTAAATTACCGTATATACTCGAGTATAAGCCGTCCCGAATATAAGCCGAGGTACCTAATTTTAGCAAAAAAAAACTGGGAAAAAGTATTGACCCGAATATAAGCCGAGGTACCTAATTTTAGCAAAAAAAAACTGGGAAAAAGTATTGACCCGAATATAAGCCGAGGTACCTAATTTTAGCAAAAAAAAACTGGGAAAAAGTATTGACCCGAATATAAGCCGAGGTACCTAATTTTAGCAAAAAAAAACTGGGAAAAAGTATTGACCCGAATATAAGCCGAGGTACCTAATTTTAGCAAAAAAAAACTGGGAAAAAGTATTGACCCGAATATAAGCCGAGGTACCTAATTTTAGCAAAAAAAAACTGGGAAAAAGTATTGACCCGAATATAAGCCGAGGTACCTAATTTTAGCAAAAAAAAACTGGGAAAAAGTATTGACCCGAATATAAGCCGAGGTACCTAATTTTAGCAAAAAAAAACTGGGAAAAAGTATTGACCCGAATATAAGCCGAGGGTGGGAAATGAGGAAGCTACTGGTAGATAGATACCAATAAAATTACATTAATATTTATTTAAAAGAAAAATAACCTAGCTCTGCAAGTGGAAAAGGGGGTACAGGGCTACATATCATGTACTACGGATCATTTAACCCATTCATGTTAGCAGAGGATCATTGTAAATGTATTGTTGCAGGCACTCTATATGTACATGTACTATATACTACATATAGAGTGCACTGAACAATAGATTTACAATTATCCTCTGCTAATATGAATGGGTTAAATGATCCGTAGTACATGATATGTAGCCCTGTACCCCCTTTTCCACTTGCAGAGCTAGGTTATTTTTCTTTTAAATAAATATTAATGTAATTTTATTGGTATCTATCTACCAGTAGCTTCCTCATTTCCCACCCTCGGCTTATATTCGGGACGGCTTATACTCGAGTATATACGGTAGCCTGCGCAATACAGTCCATTTTTTTCTACAAATGAATCCTTTTTATAACAATATGCAACACGCATTTTATAAATTAATACAGTATTTGCCCTAAGGTGTTTTTAGTTCTTATTTTTCATTATTCTCACGCATATCACTAAGTAATCATTTACATATAGGAAACAGTTATTTCTTTTGAATAGGGAAAACATACATTATTTTGACAACATGTACAGTAGATAACACCCACAGACCATAGCCATCATTAGCATGCAGAGAACAAAGTAAATCTTTGGCATAATTAAATCTAAAAAACAAAGAACATAGACCAAGTATAAACATTACCCAAGAAATAGGGTTTGGCAAGGCATATTTTTTTTAAAATTTATTACAGGTATCTATATAGCGCTGACAATTTACGCATCGCTTTATTTATTTACGCCATCAGTCACTGCTCTCGAGAGCTTACCATGTAAGATCCCTATCTCACATGCAAACAAACAGAGCAAATTTCGACAGGAGCCAATTAACCTTCCAGCATGTCTTTGGAGTGTGGAAGGAAACCGGAGTACCCGGAGGAAACACACGCAAGCACAGGGAGGACAGTGCTGCAAGGCAAAAGTGTTGACCACTAAGCCACTTTGCTGCCACAATGTGAAATTACATCATAAATACAAACCTCAGAATCACTGGAAGCTCCATTGGTAATATCTAGTTACGCTTAAGATAAAAAAAAATGATAGCAGTTGTAGCAACCCACGAAGGAGCGGCTGGATAACCGGGTCTTCCATAGCCTGTTTAGTGGATTTTAGCAACCTGGCTGCCCCAATAGCACTTACCACCCTCTGTGGCGACCAATAAAGCGAGATTTAAACTGTAGTTATGATGCTGAAGGAACTTTATTGTAGAACTTCAGGGAGAGAGGTTTAGGGCTTAGGACATCGAAGACAAAAATAAAACAGAACTCCAGACTCACCAGTCCCTTTTAGTAATCCACAGTGCAGAATCAATAGGAGCACAGGCTGACACTGGGTACTAGAGCAACAGCTGAACAGGGATAGGCATGTGATCTTCAGTAGGAGACATACCAGACTTGCTCCTGAGATCTTAATCAGCATCAGAGGTCTCCTCTAGGCTTGAGGCCCAGCAAAGAATTTCCCACACTTGAGCATACCTGCCCCCAGGCCAAGCCCAGGGGCAGGCCGGACTAACACTGCGTCCTGGAACAGAATTAAACTAGATTGAGCACGTCAATTCCCCTGAGTATATATGCACTTCCCCAGCATGCACCACTCGCTATAGAACCACCATTGATTGGCTGGTGAGCCACACACACTCATAATGTTCCCCATTGGCTGTCCCACAGTGCAGCAGAGTCACACCCCACTCAGGCAGGCACAATCAATATCAGAGCACCTGGAGTTAACCAGATAAATGCCAACTATAATTCAGCCAGACTGACTACAGCTCTGGCAGCACTAAATTTCTAGTAGCCATTCCACAAAAGGTGGTAGGGGCTACACAGTACGTTGTGTTAAGCTAGCTTTATACGTTGATGCTAATTTTCATATTTGACTCTCCATGTCAGTGATAACAGTGCTTTTTAGATAGCTTGTCATCTGCTAACAATATACAGAAAGGTGGTAGGTAGATTCTGTGAGAGGTGAGAAATTGCATCTTCAGATCACGTGAGGGGAAGGTATGTAACCTTTAAACTTACCTCACAATAACCCTCCTTGTTACCCCCAACCCTTGTTCTTACCCTACTCTTAACCCTAACCCTCACCCTCACACATCCTTCCCCATATCCCTAAATCATTACCCTAACCCTCCCCATAAACCTAACTTTCACTCTAACCCTCTTTTTAACCCTAACCTTATCCTTTCCTTATGAAAACGCCAACCCTGGTGGGTCTACTGCTTGCAGGAAACTAATGTTTAAGTGTAAATGGAGCTAAAAAGAATAAATATGGGGTGTAGTTGTATTGCAAATAATCCCTACAAATTATGTGGAAATATACATTTTTAGGATTTTACAGTTACTACTTGGTCTAAATGTACGACTTATAACTGTGAATTGTTATATTTAGGTAGGTAGCAAAACTGTACACCCTAAAGGCAAAGTATGGAATCATCCCTTTTAAAGTTCTTACATAGTACTGCAATCCTTTGGATTATCAGGACAGCTTAGTAAATAGCATTTTCAAAAGAAGTTTGGCAATGGTATTTTCTTAGTATAGTAAGTGCTGAGGGATTCCTAATTTGCACTTTCATTAGGCACGTGAAAATGTGTGTTAAAGGAGAATTATAGGGTGAGTGAAAAACATTCATCCCCATAATTTAAGCCGACCTGTGACAAAGAAGCTGTCAGAGGTCGGCTCTGTTGATCATGAAGTCAGCAAACAATTACTGCCGATCGCTGACTTCCAAATCCTCTTCCTGCAGAGAGCGGTGACTAGGGAAGGGGGCGGGAACAGCTGGCTCTGCTTCTAGAGAGGCAGAGCCAGCTGTCAATCAGCCAGCTGGGTGGATCTCGACAGTTTTGTCAGGATCCATACTGGCTATGGAGTGACCCTGCACTCTCAGCATATAGCGGGGAACAGCCTTCTATATGCTGAGTTTTGGGTAACCGGAGCACACAGTATATGTCCTCCCGTGACCCTGAATAGAACTTTGAGCAAAATGCATAGTGATGCATAGTGACCAATCTGAAATTACATTTTAGTATTCTGAATGTGATCAACTGATGTAATCTGATGTAATCTAATGTAATCATTTATTAAATGATCTCCTAAAACTTGTTTGAAAATTATAAAACTAAATAATCAAATTTGCACAAAAAGATTGGCATTTTAAGACCCTGGCTTCATTTTCTTTTCCTTAGCTAGCAAAGATGTGCAATTACAGCAAGTGGAAGAGGATGTGTAACATCTTGTTTGTAATCTTTGCCTTGGTATTCATTGTCACTCGTCTGTATCTGCTCCCTACAAGGTGAGTCCTGATAAATTATTTGTGATCATTGTTTGCACATTAAAAGTTTTTTTGTTTTTTTTTAAAAGAAATAAATAGTTCTCTAAAGATAATTTTTTTCTCATAAAAAATATTCCATCCATGATAAAAAAGCCATTCAGGGTGTTGCTATGAATGACATTCTAAATATAATTTTAAAAAACTTGATGCCTTGATGCCCTTGGTTTACCACAATGCAACTGCCAGCTTAATAAAGTGCTAGGGGACCTTGTCCTGGCACTGCATACATACTATTCTTTTTTAAAGGCCTTTGATAGGTAAAGCCCAATATAAAAATGTATCTATTATCTACATTATATTCCAATGTACTGTATAGAAAGTCATCAGAATGCTGCCTTTCAGTGTTAGTGCTAGGGTAAATGGTGTAACATAAGTTTTCAATTCTAACCATTACTTCTAAAACACTGTGGTTATTAAGAAGAATTTGTTAAAGTAAAAAAAAAAACTGCAATATGTCCATGTTTGTCACAGATGTATCTTTTAACAGCCAAGTGGCTCTAAACATTAATTTATAGAAATTATATTTCGTGACCTAGCAGTTTTTGCCCTGCCTGTGTATACTGAGGTGCCATCTAGTGATTCTGGGGTAGTACTGCAAGAAACTATTAAAGGAAACCTGTCATGGACTTTGTCATTTAAGAAATCTCAAATTATGAATTGCTTGGATGTTATTCTGACCCCCTTTTCCCTACTAAAAATCACTGACCTGGAACAGCTATGAAGATAAGGAATCCTGAGGTTAGTCAAAGTAATGAAGCTAAATGGTCAGCATATCAGCAAGTCAGCCAGAATTTCAACTGTAACAATGACAATTGGGGCTCAGTCATAAATTGGATTTGAATCGTTTATAAGCATGATGTTTAGGTGCTTGTTAAAAAAAAAAGCTAATTTGCAGTATCTTGATTTTAAATGAGATAACTGGTCAGGAGATATGAGGATTTCATTTACTAAAGGCAAATAGGCTGTTAACTTTGCAAGGGAATTTTCCTAGTGAATGAGGCAAAGCTCTGCTGACTTCCATCATCCAATCACGTGCAAAAATACTGTTTAGTAAATCAACTCAACTGAATCATCTAATAGTCGCAAGCAATTACATTCTCACTTCTAGTTTAGCCCTTACTTAGTTGTCAAAGATTAAGAGGGAAAAACTATGGTGACTATATGTAAACATGTCTGCCGTTTGGTGGAATATTGGCTAGCACTTTTGCCTTGTAGTTCTAAGGCCCTCGTTTCACCTTGTGACATTATCAGAAATAGCCCACCTGCAACACCAAAAGTAGGATGTGTGTAAAAGTTATTAGCAAATTCACATTCAGAAAATTGTCGCCAGAATTGCCCACTCGTTTTACCTTACAGCACTGCAGGGAACCATTAGGGGAAAAATAGGCGTAAATTAAAGCTGCCCATGATAAGGGGTAAGCTTTGAAAATAGACCCAATCACTTGTTCATTGGACTTATCATCCAAGCACTCCCCATCACAATAAGACAATAGCGGTGGGGTGTTGGCACTACCATTGTTCCCCCATCAAACTTCAAGAGGACTTTGTCAAGCAAAAAATCCAAGCCTGAAATCATCATAGCCCCAATAATTTTGCCTTCTCCATTCATCCCAATGCATTTTCCTAAATTTAGGAGAAGCACAGTCAGTTTCACTCATATCTATCTGAAAACATTGAAAATATTCCATTTCACCTAACTGGGTGGAAAAGACTTAAAAATAAAAACACTTAGGGGTCTATTATCAATGTTATCACCCAAAACTCACATAACATTCACCCATTTTCAAAAACATTTTTATGGGACAATGGGTGAATCTTAGGTGAAAGTTGTGTGAGGCTTGGGTGAAAAAAAATCAATAAACAGACCTTTTAATGGTTATCTTGCAATGGTCTATGATTCTAGGTAGCTGAATATTATAAGAGAACTTACATATCTTAGTCACACACAGCTTTGTCTCATCTGGGTTGGAATTACAGCCCTAGAATACTTCACCAGCCAGTGGTACAGAACTCTGGGATATGTAGTCCTATCATTTTGTAGTCCTATCTATGTTTCTTCCATCCTACAAAGCCATATATAATATCTTTGTAGAAAGCTGAATACTTGTTTTCTATAAGATGTCAATTCACTATGGAATGCTTCTAAGGACCCACAAATGCACATGTTGTCTATAGGAATCGAGATGGAAATGTATTTCCTAATTGAATGTGTTGTCTTCTATGTCAATATGCTAAAATACACATATTGAATGTTTTTTTTTTTACATAGATATGCTAAGGAAATGTGGAATGTAGTGTAGTCGCCCATAGCATCCATACAGATTGCTTTGTAATAACTTTTTAGTGCAGCAGCAGAAATATAGTAGGAAGTCATGGGCAATATCTCCGCTTTTGTTATTTTGTACTTTTAATATCACAGTCATTGCTGCTACCTCTTCCATATGTCACTATCATGCTTTGATAACAGAAGTATACTCTAATCCAGGTTAAAGTGTAAATTTCTGTGTTCTCCAGGATCATTTATAGCACATATTACTACTCCATGTTACGCTTTCAACCTTTCTTTGGATACTATTTCTTTAATGCCCTACTAATGATTCTCCAAATACTGCACATGTTTTGGGCATACATGATATTGCGGATGATGTACAGGTTCACATTCACTGGAAAGGTATGGATATTCTTCATTTTTTTATTGACAGACTGTGCTTTAAATCAGATCTTGTATATAGGTTAATGTAATGTAATGCCCCTCAGGTTATTGTTATACTTAATCTTGTGAATGGCCCTGCTGGATTATAACATGTACTTTCCCACTTTCTGTCACTCATAATTAAGGGGCCTAAGCAATAGAAGATATTTCAGATAAAATATTTTATATTAGATAACATGTATCTAAATCCATTTTTTTATAGGGGACAGCTCTCAGAGGTATTCATTCAATTTGAAGATATTTCCTTTCACTTCCTGTTTGAAATTATGGGACAAGAAGTAAAAGGAAATCTCCCCAATAAAGCACAGATTGCACATAGGGGTTTTAACCCTTTTCTGTTCTATCCAGAAATAAAAAGTTAGATATACTGTACTTTTAGTTAGATATACTGTATGACAAAGGGCAGGGAAGCACCATATAATTCGGCAGGTTCATTAATCTGTATTTAAAGTGACACTAAACTCTGAAGTTAAATGTTAAAAATGTATTCAAGTATCTGCACTATTAACAAAAATGTATCTTATTTGTATATCACTCGGCTGTAGATCCTCAAATCATCTCTGAATTGGTGCTGACACTGCCCTTCCTTCTAGAGGGTGGCTACTTTTGTTCTTTTAAAACGAAATAAGTATATATAAATAAGATTACAAATATGAGAGTAATGCTGTATGCAATGATACACACACATATACATACTGTACATATATATTACAATAAAAAGGTATGTGTATGTAGACTCAGGGCCAGAAGTGCATGGTTGGATGTCTCCCTCTTGTGCGTCTATCTACCATAGAGTGCAGGGAGTGATGTAATTTCCTCCCAGCACAGCGGAGGAGACGAAGACGGAGATTGCGGGTGGCGGCGGATTACATGTCGCAAACGCCGGGAGCTGATTTAATAGCGGATGGCATTGGCGCCCAATAGTTGCGACATGTAGTCCAACGCCGCCCACAATCCTGAATACCGCAACCACCAGGTGCCGATGCCATCAGCTCTCAGCGGTTGCGGTATACAGGATTCGAATCCCGGAGCGGCAGCCTAATTTAGCGGGCAGGGGCGGATCCAGAGTCTAATGTCGGGAGGAGCACTACCAGAAAATAAAGGTGTTTCTTACACAATAGAAAATTGTAATAATACATTACGTTGCAGTTGTTTGTCCTTTTTTCTTTTCTACACATCCTGACATTTTTGTGTGCAGCAATGGAATTTCTGCCAAACAACATCTGGCACATCACTGTCATTAAAATGGGTCTGTCATCCACACCGCACATTACTATGTTTTGTTGCTGTAGATCTTTGTGATACACATGATCCAGGCATTTTAAACCCTCACTTTGTTTGCATATATCTATGGCTAGCAAGCAGTAGATATATGCAAAACGATAAAAAAAACTTTTGCAAAGGGTTAATACTTATCTGTCTCCCCGCCGCACTCCCGTCCGAACATCTGAAAATCTCTTGGGCGGCCGCAAAACTTATACTCTGCACCTTATATTTCATGAGCTGACACCAGGATAATTAAACTGGCAGTTCACTCTTTAGAGTCTTTTTTAATGCTCACTATTTAATAGGTACAGACCATTGATTGGTGACCCTGAGCGCTGCACATTTACTATATACAACTCAGAATAATAACGTGCTGGATTAGTGTGATCCTAGTTCATTGTATTACTTCATTGCTGTGCTGTATGTGTATAGGCCAATGCTTACTTCAGAAATAATGATGCTCAGTGATCACGATTGGCACTGAGTGGCACACAAGTGCAGCCGGCCCAAGTGGCTCCGTCGGCTAACGAAGGGGGGAGGAGTCCGGTGACGTCACAGAAATCGATGTCCCCGGACTCCTCCCCCCTTCCCTTCGTTAGCCGTCACGGACATCGACCTCACCGGACTCCTCCCCCCTTCCCTTCGCTAGCCCACGGAGTCACTTGGGGAAGGGGGGAGGAGTCCAGTGACGTCGATGTCCGTCACTGGATATCCGATGGAACTCCCAGAAGACCCGGAAGCCGGCGGAGAGGCGAGTACCGATCAAAAAAAAATTAATCGATCAAAGAAATTAACGATTACTCCAGGAATTATTCGTTAATTTCGGCAGCCCTAATTTTTGTTAATAGGGTAAGATTTAGCTCCTGAAATTGGTATCATTTTGCGTAACCTTCCAGCTCTTTATGAGTGTCTAAATGTTGTATTGCTATACTACATACAGTCTTAGACCTTAATAATGTACCATAGAGTCCTGAAGAATTTTCAGCTGGAAGCTGTAAAAGTAAAAGCCCTAAAACTGTGCTGTTCCTCAAGGAGCCCAGCTGAGAAAATGTTATTATTGTGCAGTCCATATTGTGTATTACATTTTAAATAGAAAAACAGCTATAAAACAATAATGAAAGAATCTTCTTTATTAAAAACCTGGCAGAGAATCATGAACCATCATGAACCGCTTTATTATTGCAAAGCAGGTGTTATAAATTGAAATCTAATATAAGAAAAAATACATTTAAACATTCATACCAACATCTGTTTCATTAATAGTCTGGTCAGGGAATTGACCACTCCGCCTGGATGATATTATTTTTAATATTAGGGACTTGTTACCATGTCAGTTGAGCTGTGTTTTTATGTACACCGCCGCAGATGTATGGTGTGGACAGGGCACATATTAAACCATTGTATTCAATGAGTCCTGTTCACACTATACATGTGCCATTTGTGTGCAGAAAAACAGCTCAGCCCTAAAGTGTGGTTTTCTACAATTTGGTACCCAAACGAAAAACATTAATTTATATAATATATTGATTTATATGAAAACCTTTTTGATAACTTGTCTGGCGATTGAATTACAGTAAATATTCCAGTTGCAATTGCAGCACAAGTCATGTTAAAATTACCAAGTTTATAATTGGTAATCATCTGTTGTAAAAAAATACTTGTTCACGCCAGCAGCCACACTCAACTGCACCGTGTGCATGGACATTCCTAATATTCTTAATGCGGTCAAGCCACTGTTTTTTTTTTTCTTTACTGAAATGTCTCATGTGACATTTCATTACATTCTATGGGCACACCGCGGTGCGTTGCACTTAAAAATGTACGGTGTGCCAGTACGGTGCTGTAAAGCATGCCCACCCATGACAAGGAAAATTGCCTTGTCTGGCCTTCGGGCTCTGCTTGCTAAAACGGCTATAATTGCATATGGTGTAAACAGGCCCTTAATGTTGGTAAAAAGTGATATTTTTGGTAACAACTGCCAAAGAAAAAGTTATAAACAGCATAGAGTTTAGAAAAAAAACAGCAGTAATATAGAAGATAAAGTATGCAGAAATTGAAAAGCATTAAAAAATAAAAAGCATCTTAAAAAACAAAAAAATGAATGCAGAAATATGCACAGATGAACAGACCAGGTAGTGGGTGCAAATGTTTCTCCTGTGTGATCAAAATACATGCAGGTCATGATTTCTGACTTCTGTGCCTGCATATCTGTTTTGGGTTAGAGGCTCACTGTTATAGTGAATAGCTCATAGTGAATAGTCAAGGATCATCATAACTGCAATGAAGTCAGCGAATCAGCTGCTTTTAAAAATAGTCAATGGTCATGGCTGTATTTGCACATTGATAGGTTTACTTTTTTGATTGAGCCCGTCTCTGCTTGGGCAGGTCAATCTTTATTCATATAAAATATTAAGGGGGTTATTTACAAAAGGGTGAAGAGTTTGGAGAAGGCAGGAGATGTGAACAATCTAGGACAACATAGCTGATTTGGAAATATTCTCCAAGTCAGCTCACTTTCCAGTTCAGCTATGTTGTCTCACATTGTTCACTTCTCCTGCCTTCTCCAAATTCTTCACCCTTTTGTGAATAACCCCCTAAGTTTAGGTTGGTAAACAATTTATTAGGAAAGCACCAAAACCGTTTTTTTTCGGTATCGAGTATGAGTGGGCCCAGCATCCCAGCCAATCATAAAGCCTGGCTTCTAGATTGATCAGGAAGCCAGGCTTCCTGGCAGTGTCGCTAAGCAGCATGAAGCCGGCTTCCTAGTCAATCAGGAAGCCGGACGTTGGGTCATGATCTGCCGCCCCGCTTCCTGATTTGTGAGGAAGCTAGGCTGCGTGAAGCTGGCTTCCTAGTCAATCAGGAAGCTGGGAGGTGGGTCATAACCCACTGCCCAGCTTCCTGGTTGGCCAGGAAGCCAGCTCCATGTGCCCTCACGGCACTGCTGGTAAGAGGAATTCTGCCTCTGACCAGACGTTCCGGCATCGGGGTAAGTATCAGAGCATTTGGTCGAGTACGAGTACTCGCCCAAATGCTTGGTATCGGCACCGATAACGATACCGATACCAGTATTAGTATTGATGCATCCCTACAAATTATAATTTGAAGTTTTAGATGCTATTCCTAGCAAGAGGTCCCATTCAGCATTTGTTTCAACAGGATTCCAAGTGTTTGTTAGATCTGAGAATTTACTTAAATCAACTTAAATTGTACTGATTCTTATGTCATGTTTAATTTATCGTTTTCTTTCTATAAAGCTGTGTTTATATCTGCAAAGTAAATCAGTTTTCTAAACATCATTCCAATAAAATCTTTGTACCATGCAGCTAGGTAATGACGTTCGAAGTGATGTGGAGGACAGTGATGACAGTGGACAAGAAAGCAAAAAATCTTCAGAGGTAGAGAAGAAGAGGGGACACTGGGGCAGCAACAACAACTGCATGTCCCGCAAAGTTATAGAAAATGGAGTGATCCATAATAGTCACTCAAAGACCAGTTAACCTGCAGCTACTTATGGACTTTGCTACCTGAAGCTCTCTTATGATATTTGGAATTATAGTGGTCATGCACTGTGGCTTAGCTGCATTTCAGATAGTCTAAACATTGCAGAGCAATGTGATGTACACCTGTCGATATGATATCTAAATCCTTATGATGCCATAGTGCTATGCAGATATGTAGTTGAGCTTCTAACCTGCAAATCTTACAATCAGATTATGTTGAAATAGATGGACTTATGCTCTTTGTCACACTACAATTTGAGCTATTTATAAACTTACACCACATTCTGTAGCACTAATACTAATTTAAATATCTGATTGCGGGGTTCCATCAAACTTTAGTAGCTTTTAACCAAAATACTAACTTATAAAAAATGGTAGGATAATGCGGTGAACAATTTGAGTTCTTATTGCTGATGTTTTTTGGTCTTCAGCACAAGTGGGATAAAGGCTATATTGTAAAAGGTCAGTCCACCCAAACCTTCTGCTTGCTGGACAGATGCTAGTGGGATGAATTATCCATAAGCTTCTATAATTAATAGGAGCTCCAGAGGAAAAACGTGGAAGCTAAAGTCTCAGCTCTGCCTAGTTCACATGAACACTCAATAGCCATGGCCATGGTGCTTGACCCTTTTGGAAAAGGGGGATCAGAGCCCGGAACTCCAGATGGTAATTCTCCATATAAAAGAAGTTAGCAAATATTTACAGGGCTATTCACAAAAGGGTGAAAAGTTTGGAGAAGGCAGGAGAAGTGAACAATCTAGGACAACATAGCTGCTGTGGAAAGTGAGCTGAATTGGAGAATTTTTCAAAATCAGCTATGTTTGAGATTGTTCACTTCTCCTGCCTTCTCCAAACTCTTCAACCTTTTGTGAATAGCCATGTTAGGTTGCTAGCATCAACCACCAAAAAAACAAAAAACAATTAAACTGAAATATGAGTTTCTTAAGTGATTACTGTCTATTAAATGATGCCTTATTGTTTTTTCTTCAATGATACCAATATTTTTATACGTGGATTAAGCAAACCAGCTTCAAAATAATTTATGGTCAGCTAAATGTAAATCCTTAAAAAGATAATAGAGATCGGAAGTTTTTTGAACTGTTTTAACTGGGGAATACACGTATACATTTTATATTGTTGATGGTGAAAATGTAACATTATGGCACTAAACTAAGTAATAAAGTCTAAATATTAAAGTTTATTTATGAATGTTGGTAATTTTTTTATCATTAGCATAACAACACCTCTCCAGAAGATAAACTCCAAAATCTTGGCAACAATAGAGAATGGGACAGTTAGAGGAAAATCTGTTGACTTGATGGCTGTTGTAAGAAAATAAATATTGTACTCATTTAATATTGTGATTAAAAAAACAGGAACTTTATAAAACAGGAAAATATTAACCACATTTGTCAACACCTTTGGGTCCTTTGTGAACACAGTTGAACAGCAACCAAGACCTGTAGACTCACCTGCAAACCTGATTAATAGACACCAGGAGCCCTGCTTTTCATACACATATTTCCTTATGGTGGTTTAAAGCATAAATCGGAACAAAAGTGTTCCTAACCCTTGCAGTGCTAGTTTTGATTAAAAAAGTTATACTCGCCCCAAATGCCCGAACTGCGGAGCCAGCTGGCTGCTACTCCGGTTCCTGAAGCCTCCTCCTTTAATCTTTGTCCCTGCCTTACAATTAACAAAGCTGTTCCAGAAGAGGGGAGTACTAAGAACCAACCTGAGGATCAGATGAAAATCGTTGTTTAATAGTTTATATCAGAATTCACTTTAGAAATGTAGACCCATTCTTTGTATACACACTTTGTATAAACATAAATTGTGCATTCAAATGGTAAATTTGCTTCTATGGCACTGCACTGGTCTATAAAGTTTGTTTCATACTTCTCTTGTGTACCCTTATAGGTTAAATATTTTTTACCAATGATGCTATGTTTTGAGTGTGATATGATTACAGCTCTGCAGGTAGATACTACAGCAAAGCTTGTCCAACAGGAGTTACTGCAATGCTTTACAGCATGTCATTGTTAAAAGTTGTATTCATCTCTCAAACTTTTTTCAATAATGAATACACATCAAACAAATGCTGTGCAACCTAACATAGCTGTCAAAAGCCGGATGAAGCGCCTCCTGTAATTAACAGGCAGCGCTCCGTCCATGACGGGTTACACAGCGGGGAGGCTTTCCCCGCTGTGTAACCTGTTAGAAGCCGATCTGAATGGAGAAAAAGCTGTCAGCTTCAGAGTTGAGCTTACCTCCCTCCCCAGACCGCATGGCCCTGACATGTAACAAATACAAAGTAAGCGTTGTATTTCATTTTACAAAAGTGGAAAACACTTAAAGCCATTGATATCTGTAAATACAAGGTCTTTTTTTAAACCAAGCTGGTAAGACTAGTCTGTAAGACAAAGTCTGTAAGAGCTGAAAAGAAGCCCAGTCCTGAAAATAAAAATACAAAATATTAATTGCCAAAATTTCCAATTTACCTGATTATACATACCGTATTTTGCGCTCCATAAGGCGCACCGGACCATAGGACGCAGGGAGGTCCGGTGCACCTTATGGAGCACTGAACAGACCGGAGCTTCTGTCACAGCTTCTGTGACAGAAGTTGCAGTTAGTGACCTCTGAGACAGGTGGCGCTGTGATTACAGCGCCACGGTCTCAGTGATCACACAGAGCAGACGAAGAACGTCCGTTCTTCGTCTGCTCTAGTGGCTCTATGGTGAATCGCCGCCGCTCGGTTTTAATACGAGTGATCTAATTAGATCACTCGTATTAAACGAGCATTGGCTCCTACTGTAGATTTAGCTCTGCTTTAGCAGGGCTAAATGTACAAAAAACTATGCCCGGCGCCCGAAACTGCATGTCTCAGGTGTCGGGCGATAGGGATTCGCTCCATAAGGCTCACGCACATTTCCCCCCGCCTTTTGGGGGGGGGGGAGTGCGTCTTATGGAGCGAAAAATACAGTATGTGATAACATATACATAAATTAAAAGTAGATATAGAGGCACTCATGGCTCTTGTAGCAGAGATAAGTCAGAGCATTTTATTGTCAACGTTTCGATGAAGCTCAGTCCATCTTTATCATGACTATATATAATATATACAGTAACTACATATATTATTGGGGGTTTTTTAAGCCTGACCATATTAAAGAAAGGAAATATATGTAAATCTGTTATATTTTCACAATTTTTTTATTTATTATAAAAGACATTTCATAGTTACATATTCCAGCAACCGGCCCTGAGTTTCAAAGCAGTATTTTGTCATCTATTGGATTGTTGATCTTCAAGGCCAAACATCATAGCGTCTCATCATCACACAGCCCCTGATAGGAAGAGGACAAGGAAGGCTGGTATCCACCACCTGACAGAAGTCCAAGTAGGGGTCAAACAAGACAAAGTTTGGAATATCACTAGTTATACTTGCTCTTCTTTGTCCCAGGAAATACATTCTTCCATTAGCAGAGCAGCATCCCATGTAGAACTTGCGGTCAAGACATTCTTCCTCAATTGCTGACCACTTCTCTGTACGAAAGTCAAATCTCATAGCTTTGCCTCCAATGGTATACAAGACTCCATTAAGCACCGTAGCACAGAGATCATACCTAAAATATTGCCATGTGTTATTAGGCTGCAACTCCAAGCAATACGAAAAATAATTTAGAGAACAGGAATGTGCTAAAGTCTAAAATTCCTCGCCAGTGTATTGTCATTTAAGGTGCATTTGAATCCAAAACTTTTGTTTTAGTTTTTTGATAGAATGGAAAGGGATTGAAACACCTGCCATGCTTTTATTGCTGTCTGTGTCTCCCGTTAGGAAGATTCACCCTCTCTATTCGTCCTGGTGATGCTGGAAGTGAAAGAAAATCCCAAATTTTGGGTTGTCATCACAACAGGAATAGATGGAAAATCTTCCAATGGGGACACTAGTTCTGGTGACCCTGCTGACCACCAGAGATTTCCCTCTCTTTGGAGGGATTTCCTCTCACTTCTTGTGGCTATCAGACAGGAAGTGAAAGGAAATCTTCCCAATTCCCAATGGGACACAGATGGCATAAAAAGCTGACAGCTCCCTTACTTTATCCAAAAGTTAAAAAAACAAAACGTTTTGGCATCAACTTAACATAATATTTCTTTTGTCTGTGAAGGTGTATTGCTGGGATTTTTAGTTCTCTATAGGTGATGGTATTAGAGTGTTAGCTACTTTAGTGCAGAGAATGCCAGGGGGGTTGGGGGGCAAGTGAGATCCGATTCTCTATAGCAATATGTCTGTGAAGGTTCTTATTCATCCAGGTCATGGTATATCTGTAAAAATTAAGTCAAGGCAACTGGACTGGCTGTATTTTTCTTGAAGACATTTCACTGGTCATCCAACCTGCTTTCTCAATTCAGAATGACTTTTCAACAAAAATTATCTGGGAAAAAAAAGGTGAATGCTGCTCCAATCCACATAATTTGTTAATTGCAGCCAGCATGGGGTCAGAGACCTCATGGAGGTAAGATGTTGAATATCATTTTTACATAAATGGGTTCTTTCACACCTCTTTTAAACCAGTCCTCCTCCCTGTCTAGGATGCATACTTGACTGTCTTCAAAGGAGTGACCTTTTTCGTTCAGAAGTAGGTATACTGCTGAATCCTGACCAGAGGCTTTGGCTCTTCTATGCTGTGCCATACGCTGGTGTAGCTGCTGTTTTGTTTCACCGACAAAAAATTTGACTGTAGCCACTTACTCTTTTCTGTACCACCTCCTTCCTTGAGAACTTTCTCATTTTCACTGAATGTATTGCTTCCTGAAGACTACAGTGGGGTGAACTGAGGGTATGAATCATTTATTTCTATATAATTAGGGTGTACATTATTAGACTTTAATGTACGGATTTGAGAAGAGGGAGGGATATACAGTACATAACACCAAAACAGTCTCTCATATTAGAACACTTCTGCGTACTGGGTCACAGAAAAGAACATGTATATACTGAAAGGAAATCTCATAACTGAACAAGAGAGGAAACTAAGGGGTACAATACACCACAACAAGGGTTAAACAGGATTTATGACATATTATGTAAAATAACTGCTGTATAGCACCTCCTACGGTTAGACATTTTGACTTTCACAGAACAGTACTAATAAATGACCTTAAACTCGTGTCAATTTGTAGTTTAACATATTAACATTGTACCTGTTATTACTTTAGCTACATTATACCTGTATACAGTGCCTTGATTCAGAATCTATCTATATTGTGCACTAGCTGCTTTGGCTTTTATCTGTCAATATGCCAGAGGAAGGAACCTAGTGTCACAAAAAGTCAGGGATGATTTTTGTGGTGGGTAAAATTGCATGGGGACCATTTAGAGATGGCAAATCAAGATCTGCTCATTTAAAGCCAAACTTAGAGAATTTCAATGTGAACACGGGTCCAGGCGGAAGTATCCTGTGATAACAAACACAATGCAGATCCACATAAGGAGGAACTGCATGGTGTATCCCCCTGCTTCTTTGCAATTGGACACTGTGTTTGTCATCATTGCTACTTCCACATGTAGCCATCTACCTACTGGTGATGCTAAAGAAGAAGATAGTTACACAATGTCTTTGCTAGGTTACATTGATTGACACAAACTAGCGTCCTCCCATCACGCTAGGCTCAGTATACCGCGAGCTGTAGCTTGCGGTATACTAAGACGCCGCAGTATACCGTGAGCAGCTGCTCGCGGTATACTGAGACGCCGCAGCTGAAGCGGATCCCGACAATTGTGCCGGGATCCGCCCAGCTGCGTGACTGACAGCTGGCTCTGCTTATCTAAAGGCAGAGCCAGCTGTACCCACCCCCTCCCCCGTCCGTTCCGCCAGTCAGCGCTGGCGGATCGGAGCGGAGAGGGGGGAATACAGCCCCTCCCCTGTTACGGCAGAGAGCCGTGACAGGATCAAGAGGTGAGCTAACGCCGGTATGTGTTCGCTCACCTCCCGATCTACTGAGCCGACCTGTGACAGTCTCATTGTCACAGGTCGGCTAGAACTATGAGGTGAGTGAAAAGCACTCACCTCATAGTTCTCCTTTAATCACTTTGATAAACTAACCCCACAGGCTCCTTTTCTTGCTCCTTTGTGCAAGAACCTGTGTTGATGGACAAATTCAGCTTCCTTTAAAGTGACTCTAAACTCAGGAATTAAATCTTTAAAATGTATTCAAGTATCTGAACTAGGGATGCAACGATATATCGGCCGCCGAAACATATCGGCCGAAAATGGCACTTTTGGCATAATGCCGAAAGTGCCATTTTCCTGCCAATACATCGGCGCATCCCTACTTTCTGTGTTCCAGCAGGGAGGAGAGAAACTGTCACAGCCGGCCGTACGCTGCGGGAGGAGAGCGCTGTGAACGACCAGTGTCTCCTCCCACACCGCTCAGCCTCCTATCACAGTCCGGCAGAGCGGTGTGTGGGCAGAGACAGGTCGCGCTGTCACAGGAGACTGGGCTCTCCTCTCTGCACCACTCGCTCAGCGTTAAAAAACATTTTCGGTATCGGTTTCGGCCTGACAATTTTTTTTATTTTGTTTTTGTTTCGGTTTTAAAATGTCCATTTCAAGGCACCTCTAATCTGAACTATTAACAAAAATGTATTTTATTTGTGTATCACTCAGCTGTAGATCCTTGAGATTGTATGGAGATTGTAGTCCATCACAGGAGCGAGCTTGGAGTGGTGGCTACTTTACAACACACACACAGAGAACAAAAGTAGCCACCCTCCAGAAGGAAGGACAGTGTCAGCACCAATTTAGAGATGATTTGACGATCTACAGCTGAGTGATACACAAATAACATATAATTTTATTAATATTTAGGGTAATTGAATGCATTTTTAAGATTTAAAGCAGACCTTTAAACTCAAAAATCAAATTCTACCAACGCATCCCTCTATATATGATGATTAATAATAACATAGACATGTCAGGTGTAAAATACTGTGATTGTAAAATACTTACACTCGCAGAGCATTCACTTCCTGCTTTGAAAGGGCAAAATGACTTCAGTTTGACAAAGTAATCCACACTGGAATTGCCTTATAAGCAGAGCATTGCTGGGAAATCTCATCTGTAATCTCACGAGATCTCAGGGAAAGGCATTTTCCTCCCCTGAGATGATGTGCATAGTCACATGTCCTAGTTACATGTCTAGTCACATGTGCTAAAATTAGGAAGTAATAGGAAAGCTAGTAATCTGCCCTTAGTAGACATGGCCACTGTAAGAAGACAGGGGAAGAAAAGAGAAACATTTCTAAAGGTGTGTTAGTTGTTATTTTAAAGATATGGGTAAATGTCCACTTTAACTCCTGAGTTTAGTGTCTCTTTAAAGACATTCTTTGTCTTTCACACCATTGTATATTGCATTCAGCTTGCATTTGAGATTAGTTTAGGGGCTCATTCACACCAATCGTGATATATACATTATATATAGATATATTAAAACTGGAAAGAAACATGAATTTGTTATATATTAGCATACCTTGGCATAGGAGAGTATGTGATTATATCCCACACACCCGTCTCTGTGTCTAGCCTCTGCACTCCACTGTACACATCTCCATTCTCATCACGGCCACATATGACATACAGTTTAGCCTCCACACAGGCAGCTGCTGCTCTTTCAACAGGTCTGAGAAGAGGACTTTGAGCTTCCCAAGTCATTTCTGCTAGGTCCAGTTTCTCAACATCTCCAGTAACACCCTCATCTGTGCTTCCTCCTATAACATAAAGGTAGAGTCCAACCCCTACAGCACAATGACAGTTCCTGGATAACGTCAAAGGTGGTCCATCAGTCCAACAGTTGTTGGAAGAATCATAAATGAGAACCCAATCTATGCTATACCATACGAAATCTCCACGGAAATATCCGCCAGTCACAATCATCAGGTTACCTGAAAGGATAAACAGGCAATTAAACAATAAAGTAATGAAAAGTTTCAATTTTTTATTATTACAGTTTTACTTACAAGCCATTGATGTTTGTAGCAATTATATGTAGAAGATTTGCCATATGATGAACTATGGGAAAAAACACTGACCCCATAGTTCTCCTTTAAGTGCTGGTAAATTATCAGCACTATATAAATGCCTGTAATAAATAAATAAATATGACACAAAGATCTCAGCATTTGCCACTTTGATCATTACACATACATTTAGGAAAGTATTAAAAACAGCTTCACTGAGCTTACACTTACACTGTGGAAAGCGAGGGGGTTCTTTTTTTTTAAAATTTATTTATGCCCGTATCCCTACTGGAGAGTTTTTACACTCACTTCCCGTACTCGTGACACCCAAGGCATAGCTGTGAACAGCTTTCTGCTTCCCTTTTTTGAAATCCCTTCTATGGATCATGTACTGTATGTTTCACCAGGAACTGATGACAGCATCACGGCTGTTCAACATGCACGTAGGAGTGCATGTTGAATGCGCTCCAGAAGGGGGAAACAGAAAGTTTAGCTTATAGCAATTAATTGTGAGTCAAGACTGAAATTACACACCAGGGACACAAAGAGAATTAGAAACCTGACAGGGGATCTAACTTTGCCAACCTCTATTCAAAATGTTTTGTATAAAGTTCCACCTTAAAGCGGACATTTACCGCTTCACTAAAGATCACATTAGCATGCAGCTCTGAAATCATCTCACATTTATTAAACAAACATGTTTTGCTTTACGTACAATTACTGTTTTTCCATTTCCTGGTTGAATGAGACACTGGTGATGTAGCCTTGGAAAGCTATATCACCAGTGCCTTCCTGGGAATTCTCATCTATAAACTGCAAGATATCCCCATAAAATGATGTCTACTGTCACGTGATCTAGGAGGCAGATCCGGAGGTCCAGGAAGTAAAGGAAGACAAATTAATCTGCCCTTAGTGAAAATGGCCACTGTAAGAAAAATTGGGAGGAAGAAGAAAAATATGGTACGTAAAGAATAAAAAGCTGTCAATTATCTATATGTATCTGTTTGTAGATTGGCATTACTAAATATTTGTAATGGTGCCTTTGTTGCCATATTTTATAGACTGGGGGTAATTAGAGTCTTTTATTGGATTTTATTAAGAAATAAATAAGAAGAGATACATCAACTACTATTAGAATCACCCATGTTACAGTGCAAAAGTGGACAAAGGATTTCCTTAAGGAAGATGCCCTTAATTATTTCTGGATTTTAAAGCAGGAGTGAGCAACTCTGGCCCTCCAGCTGTGGTGAAACTACAAATCCCACCATGCTCTGCCTCTGGGATTCATGTCTGTGGACGTGCAGTTTCACACCCGCTGGAGCCCACTCCTGTTTTAAAGCCCAGCCAGCTGAGGACTTGGGGCATACGGCTTACACCCTAAAAACTTAATTGAGAAATACGATGTAACAACATAATTGTTAAGTCATATTTACTCTCATTCATTCATACAATGTCATCTAAAACAGCCTTACGAGAAAAAAAATCTTATTTTTATAATACAATGTGTTACAACTTAAAGTAGTACTAAAGGCTGGGCATTTTTTATCTTAATGCATTCTCTGCATTAAGGTAAAAACGCCCAATACCTTTTAGTGTCACCGTCCGCCCCACACTTGTCAGCGCCGCCGGTCCCGGAAGCGATCCTCCGTCCCAAACGTCCAGGTTGCGGGGGAGGATACTGAGAGCATAGGCTCTTTCTACCGTCAGTCAAACTGCTGGGTGGAGAGGGGGCGTGGCCTGCTGCAGGGCTGTGTGTGTCTATGGGCGCACAAAGCTACTGCGGGCTCGGCTGGGAATGGGCACACACGGGTGCCTCCACAGCAGCTGTTTATCCAATGGAGGCACCCGTGCAGTGGGGGGAAACACTGCGGGGACCCACTAGAAAATGAGGTATTGAATAAAAAAAAAAAAAACCCAAAGCCTCCCAGTGATAAAAAATAAATACATTAATTAATATCGCTTTAATCCCTAATTAGTTTGAGCCATTAGTATTAAAACTTTTTTTTAAAATTTTCTTTGCTTTGTTCATTTATTTGTAGCGCAGCTTTAAAAAAATTCACAACACACAGTGGCTGGTGTTCGGTGCCTGACACACTGCCGATGCTCCGATCCCAGCACATTGAACTGTATACTCTTTTTCTTTTTTTTGGACTAGTGAAATGTCACAATTAACATTTCATTAAGTTCTATGGGCACAGCGGGGTGTGAAGCGGTTGTACTGTGTCGCTTCTCGCTGCCCTGGAAAAAAAATATGGGCATGGGCATTACATTGGTGTAAACCGAGTTCAATCGTGACTAGGCATAAAGTCTTGTTTTGCATTGGGGCTGCTCTGGAAACAATGGCCAGCACAGCCCAAATGCATATGGCGTGAACCCACCCTTAGTCTCCTGTAATCCCCTGTATAGCAGTACTCAACTGGGAAAAAGTGGAAAAGCACTAGAAGCCTATAAGGCTCTGCTGTAGTGCACATGTGCTGACAGTGAACCCGCAGACATGAGAACAGAGGCATAAAGGTCATCAGTGTGCTTCCCGCTGCTGCTTCATTGTTTCATTGGCGGTGAAGGCCAATGACCTGGCTGTTCTTTCTGACAGATGTGTCTTGAACACTCAATTGACTGAACAAAATTCCCAAATCCTTGAGCAGGAAAATTCACAGATCAAATACATTTAAAGGAACGGCATTTTAGAATGGTATAATGGTATTCATACTGTGTATTTAGCTGCTTGCCTGGAGTTCAACTTCAGAACTGGCAAAACAATAATATAACCCAAACAAAACATTTGATTATTATAAAATGAACCCCCTCCCCATTCATTTTTACATTAACATCATGAAAATATTGATCTTATGAAAGTTGAAGAGAGTGTTACCTACTGTGGCGACTGCATACTGCGTGAGATTCTTGCGCTGTAAGGGTGAGCAGGGTCTCCATGTTGCCGTCTTTGGCATGTAGACATATAGTTCTTGTTGTTCTTTTTCATGTTTGCCACCAAGCACGTAGATGGTTTCATAGGTTCTGCTTGTAGACATCATTTCATTCATGATGCTCCATGTCTTGGGAGGCTTAGTGTTCAATATTTGTAAAAGTCTTGTGTAGACATCGTGTTCTTTTGATCTCTGACTGCGCTTTACTAGAACATCAAGAAAGGTGAGACTAAGAAAAGCAGGTCTAACCAGACCGACTAATTCTTCAAAATCCTTCTCTCTTATGGAATCTACCATGACCCACTTCATCACAGCATCAAAGACCAGGTCTTCATTAGAGACATACAGTTCATCGGTTTGCAGCAACACTTTGAGGGTTTCTTTGTCCAACTGACTAAATTCATCTTCACTGTCCTGCATAAGCTCTGACAGATGAGTGACTGCAACCTGGAACGCCGAATGAAAAAGCTGAGTACAGCCGTATTGCTGAGAGTAGGACATCATAGCCAAGCAGTTAGACACTCTTAGCTCTTGTACAAGGTATCCAATGCAAAGCTGCTTGGCCTGTCTCAGATCTAAGAAATCAGCCGTTTCCAGGAGATCTGTAACATTCCCTTGGTTCAGCTCCATGTTACCACTTTTTAAAAAGTCCAGAAGAATCCGAAAACAAGCCTTGCTCACACCATACAGGTGGATTTGGCGCAGAAAGCTTTCTTTGAATCCACCATAAAACATTATCTGAAAATAGCTACTTTCTGCGGCCAGGGCAGATTTGTCCACATGAAACGACTTCTGTTCTACCTCAAGGATTACTTCATCCACCTGCTCCATTTTAGGAGGATCTCACATATATAATTTACAAACAGTAGCATTACATAATCTCCAGAACATGTACCCGTGGTGCTTTAGCACTGTAAATGTCCGTATTAAACATGCATAAGTATTTGAAGAACCAGTGCGTATGCTTAAAAAATAGATGCATGTAACATGCTACGCTGAAGTCATATTTACCGATGCAGAAATAACTGTGTTAAAATAACACAAGCTGGCATTTAAATGTAAAATTAATGCACATTTTAAATTATATATGTTGTTCAAAGCCCATATAGCACTCACTGCTTAACCTGGAAGCACTACATCCAGCAAGGCAAGGTTCTGTACTGCATGGCCTGTTCTTTAAGAAGGAAGGTAGATTCTGTATGCAAGCTGAAGACAGTGTGTTGGCTGTGTCATATTTTGAAAGTTGACTGCTCAGCTGTTCCAGAAATAGCTTGCTGGTTTTTTTTTTAACCACTGCGTATGTCCTTCATTTAGCAAAGGAATTCACCCATTAAATTATGAGGGAGGGTTCTCCTTAGCATAGCACTAAAGACACTATAACATTTTATACAATTTTTTAAGTAAACAATGCCACATGGTTCAACGGATCTCAGTTTTTCCAGTATCAAACAAAGGGAACACCATGACTAACAGCTGTACATTTCTAAAGTGTTGCTATCCATGAAAGTACTTCTTGTACTTCATATTTATGACCAGTTAGATAATTCCTACTACAGACTTAAAGTGACACTAAACTCAGGAGTTAAATCTTAAAAATGCATTCAAGTACCCTAGTTGTTAAAGTGACATTAAGGGCAAACGACCACACCCCCCCCTCCTTCCCCAGTGCTAATGTAAGGACTTACCTTAAATTATGCCTCTTAATCTGATCATCTTCTTTCCTGTAGTTTTTAGCTGTCCCTCCAGCGCTGATGTGGGTCTCCGATCTAGCGCTGACTCCTCTGTCCTCCTCTCTTCTGACGTCCCACGGAGTCTGTGCATGTGCACGCTGCTCCATAGACTTACCTTGTGTCTCTCCTCCTCTCCCGGCCGAAAATCTGAACTGCGCATGCACACGCCCCAAGATCCTTTGCAGCCGCCCGAGAAATTTTCAGATGTTCGGACGGGAGTGCGCATCGGAGAAACAGGTAAGTATTAACCGTTTGAAAGAGTTTTTTTTTAATAGTTTATGTATATATCTATTGCTTGCTAGCCATAGATAGATATATGCAAAAACATGCAAGGGTTTAATAATGTATCTTAATTGTGTATCACTCTGGTTCCCCTTGGTCCATAAAGCCACACTTTAAAGTGACACTAAACTCAGGAGTTAAATCTTAAAAATTAATTCAAGTACATTAACTATTAACAAAATTGTAGTTTATTTGTGTATCACTCAGCTGTAGATCCTCAAATCATCTCTGAATTGGTGCTGACACTGTCCTTCCTTCTGGAGGATGACTACTTTTCTTCCCCATGGTCCCTGTGTGTGTTGTAAAGTAGCTATCACTCCAAGCTCATGTAGTCCGTGATGGACTACAATCTCATGTTTAGTTTACTAATTTGTATTGAGATTGTAGTCCCTCATGGGAGCGAGCTTGGAGTGGTATCTACTTTACAACACACACAGGAACTATGGGGAACAATAGTATCTTGATTGAACAAAACAAACAAAATGTTTGGCAAAAATTAGATTTTTGCTAAAAATGGTGGTGAAGATGGTGAAATACATTGGAGTCAAAGGGGGAGGTGAAAATAAGATGGTTGTTGTTGGTTTTTAGGGTGCAATGAGCTTTAAATGGCTCCTAAATGTACTTTAAACAACCCTGGACCTGTTCTTGTGCCATGAAAAAAGACCCTCATTTACCAAAAATAATAAAAAAAAGAATGAAAAAGCAATCATACACAATTAATGGAAACCCCTCCCACAAATATAAAAGACACTAAGGGCTTGTTCACACCAAATGCAGACCAGATCTGTATGAGTTTCTGCACACGCAGTGCAGTGGGTTGTGCCGCATTTTTGCTGTGTTTTTGATGCGTTCCAGGCCATTTTTGGTAACAACATTTTTTGTGTGTTTAAAATGGGCTTTCAGTGCGTTCCAGGGCGTTTGCCTGCATTTTTGATGCGTTTGCATGCGTTCAAAAGCAGCTAAAATAGGGCTTGCTGCAGTTTTTTTTACATGCTCTGGAACTGAACGCTGTGGTGTGAACTAGAGCCCAAAATACCATTGGAATACATTGGACGCAGTTTTGATCCGGTCTGTAACTGCTCTGCTCCTGGAACGCGCTTGGTGTGAACAAGGCCTAAATTATAGAAACAAAATGACTATAAACACATTCACCCCCTTCCCCCAAAAATAGGATTTTTGTACTCACTGTAAAATCCTTTTCTCTCTGTTCATTGAAGGACACAGGGCAACAGATCGGAGATCATGAATGGTAGGGTATATCGCCACCTGCAGGAGTAGGACGCTAGGCACATAACAAAAGAAAAAGCCAGCCTAGGGGCGGCCCCTGCTGGTGGCCAAACACCCCACCTGCTGACAAGTCTCCAGTAAGTAACAAGCAGTTAGGAGTACACACCCAATATAGAGTGCGGGACCTATGTCCTTCAATGATTGGAGAGAAAAGGATTTTACGGTGAGTACAAAAATCCTATTTTCTCTCCCGTTCATTGAAGGACACAGGGCAACAGATCGTAGATCCTGAATGGTAGGGACTTCACCAAGCAGTACACACTGAGGGATGGTTAACAACAATCAAACACCCAAAAGAACCCTCAAAGAGCCGCCTACAACTCTTTGCTCCCCAAACCAGCCGATGCTAACACATCCACCTTGAAAACTTAATACAGGTGTGAACAAAAGACCATGCAGTGGCCTTACAAACCTGAGAAACAGAGGCCCCATGACGGAAGGCCTAGGAAGCCCCAACAGAATGGGCAGTGACAGGTAAAGGAGGCTAACGCACCTTAACGGCGTACGCCTGAACAACAACATTACGAATCCACCGAGAGGTGGCAGCCGCCGACGCGGCCCGGCCCTTACGAGGGCCCTCCTTGAGCACGAACAAGGAATCGGCCTCGCGGAAAGAAGCCGTAGCTTCCAAATAAACACGGAGAGCGCGAACCACATCCAAACAGTGGAGCGCACGTTCCTTCCTATGAACCGGCTTCGGGCACAGGAAGGTAAGAGAATGTCCTCATTCAGATGGCATACCGACACAACCGTAGGCAGGAAAGCCGGCCGAGGACGGAGAACTGCCTTATTCCTATGCAAAAGCAGCACCGGAGACTTGCAGGACCAGGCAGCCAACTCCGACACCTGCCAAACGGAAGTTATGGCCACCAAAAAGGCCACTTTTTGAGACAAAGAAATTAGCGGAATCTCCAGAAGAGGTTCAAACGGAGATTCCTGCAACACCGAAAGCACCAGATTCAGATCCCACGGCGCCAAAGGCGAGCGGACAGGGGGGGCAATGTGCGTCACCCACTGAACAAAAGTGCGAACCAGAGCATTAGACGCAAAAGGTCGCTGGAAAAGCACAGCCAATGCAGATATTTGACCCATAACAGTGCTCAAGGCCAGCCCTTGAGCCACCCCGCGCTGCAAGAATGCAAGAATTCTGCTGATGGAGAACAAATGCGGAGACAGGGCACCAGGCAAAAAAGGCCCTCCCCGTGCGATGGTAAATCTTTCAAGAAACCCTCTTGCGCGTCCTGAGCAAAGTGGAAATGACCGCAGCGGACAACCCCCGGTCCTTCAGGACCTGGCTCTCAAAGCCAGCGACTGTAAAGAAGGATGGAACACAGGTCCCTGGGACAGAAGATCTGGACACAGAGGAAGCCACCACGGGACGTCCACCACCAGCTGAACCACGTCCGCGTACCATGCTCTCCGAGGCCACGAGGACGACGGGGACATCCTCGGCCGCGATCCATTGCAGAAGCCAGCGGAGGGCAACAAAACTAATTAGGGGAATGGAGGACCAGAGCTATGAGACAAGGCTTCTTACCTTAAACATGTTTACGCTGGAATTAAGGAGATTAAGGGGGGATATGATTTTCATGTACAAGATGTTCAATGGTGACAGCAACATTGGCAACAAACTGTTTGAGATTAACTCCATTACAAAGACTAGAGGCCACCACCTAAAGTTGGTGGAGAAAAAATTCCAGCACAATGGGCGAAGAGGGTTCTTTACAGTAAGAGTGGTTAAGGTGTGGAACTCACTGCCATCGGCAGTGATTTCAGCCAAGAGTGTAGATTTGTTCAAGAAACTTTTGGACAATTTCTTGAGGGACCGTAATATCCAGGGATACCAGTATCCCTAAGAATTAGATGATGCGTGGACCTATATGGGTTGGACTTGATGGACGTATGTCTTTATTCAACCCCAAATACTATGTAACTGTGTAAGTAGAGGGAAGGCATAAATGACCTTAATGACCCCGGTTAAATGACCGTAATGACCCCAAGGAGACACCAGGGCATCCACCGCCTCCGCCCAGGGATCCTGAGCCCGGGCCATGAACCTGTCCACCTTCCGGTTGAACCAAGATGCCAGAAATTCCACCTCAATTCCACAACGAAGACAGGGCAGCTGAAAAACTTCCAAGTGCAGTGACCACTCTCCCGGGTCCACCGACTGTCGACTGAGGTAGTCGGCTTGCCAATTGTCTACTCCCGGAATGTAGACCGCCGAGAGTGCCAGAACCTGATTCTCCGCCCAGGAGAGAATCCCGAACACCTCTCGACCTGCGGCCATGCTTAATGTACCGCGCTGGCGGTTGATGTACGCCACCGCGGTTGCATTGTCCGACTGGACTCGAACCGCCAGATCCTGAACCCGGGTCGACCAATGAAGGAGAGAAAGGCGAATCGCCCGAAGTTCCAACACAGTTATCGACAGACGGGACTCCTCCAGCGACCAACGACCCTGCACGGTCAAGGAGCCCCGGACTCCACCCCAGCCCCAAGGGCAGGCGTCCGTGGTGACTACCGTCCAGTGCACAGGAAGGAAAGACTTCCCCCGCACCAAGGCCGGAGATTGAAGCCACCACCGCAAGGACACCCGAATGTCCCTGTCCAAGGATGTTCCTCTGCAGAGTCCTGGTGTGGTGTTGTGCAAAGGACACCGCCTCGAAGGAGGCCACCATGAGACCCAAGACCTGCATGCAAAAGCGAATGGGCGACCACCGGCGTCTCCGCAACAGCCGGACTTTGGAACGGAGTTTCAGGAGATTGTCCTGAGGGAGAAAAACCCCGGGCCGCAACAGTGTCCAGAACCAGGCCCAGATACTCCAGGCACCAGGCAAGACCTCCGGAGGTTGAGGAGCCAACCAAACTCCTCCAAGGACCGCATCGTGACCTCCAGAGCCGTCACCAGAGAAGAGTACAACTCCGCCCGCAGATTGTCCAGGCAGCCCACGATCGAAACTCCCTGACAACGCAACAGCGCTAGGCAAAAACTGGAGACTTGTCAGCAAGTGGGGGGTTTGGCCTTGCTTGGCACACACCTTACAACCATCGCAAGACTTTTGTCTTGCGATGGTTATAAGGCAATTCAAAAAACGTACGATCTGCCTATCTTGGACAGGCAGATCGTACTTGCGATGATCGCAAGCTGCGCCCCCCTGAGAGGCGGGCTTCCGATGACCGCAATGCCGAACGGGCAGTGTGCGCTTGCGCACACCGGCCCAGCCGGCTTTTATCTTACGAACATGCTACACACCCACCGAACATCGTACGATGCTCGGCGGGTTTTCGAACATGTTCGTAAGTTAAAAGTCGTGCGACCTTACAGTAGTAGAGGTCGCACGGCTTCCACACACCTTACGATAATCGTACGATCGCGGGATTTCCTGCGATTATCGTACGATTATTGCAAGGTGTGTGGGGACCTTAAGACTGGAATGTCATTAAAGTTCATGTGCGTGTACAGGCAGATGTCCAAATACTTTTGGCAATATAGTGTGTGTATGTGTATATATATATATATATTTTATTCTGAAAACTGCATGGTTTTTATGTCTATATTTGCACAAATGTTTATCAAATTAATAGTTAGGAAACAATTTTGGTAAAATATTTTAAAAAATGTGGTTACATCAAGTAAATAGATACCAAACATGTCAAGTGTTAAAATTGTGTGCAGCCATGCAATGGTGAAAAATTATGGTACTCTAAATTGTCCATAGGCGACGCTTTTAGGGCCTGTTCACACCATATGCAGTGCGTTCCGGCTCAGTATTTCGTGGGGCAGGAGGGGGAGTGGCTGGGCATTGAAGTGAATGGCAGCGTAGCCACGCCCTCTGGCCGCAATGCGATCGCCCGCACGGGATCACAAGGCACATTGTGCCTGCCGTCTGGTGTGATCGAAAATGATACAAGCATTATTTGGATCGCACGAGGGTAACACATGCCTTGCGATCCCATTGCGGCTGGAGGGCGTGGCTACGCTGCCATTCACTTCAATGGCCAGCCACGCCCCCACGAAATAATGAGCCGGCCGCAATGCGATGCAGTGCGTTCCGGCCAGAACGCACTGCATACGGTGTGAACAGCCCCTAAAAGCTTCTACTGCTCATCTGTTTAAACAGCAAATTATGACCCTGGAATTATTGTTCCCACACTGACTTTTGCAGCGATACCTAAAATGTGTGACGCAATCGTCGTTTACGTACACACCCTTTTTGTTCACATGCAGTTGGCGGAGGTGTAAAAAGTAAAAGAGTGTAATCTGTTCTTCCAATGTATTACTAGGGTATTTAATATGCTTTTTGTATACATACTTGAATGCAATTCAGCTATTGGAATGTATGATTTTGCCGTCCTCATGAAGTTGAAGTTTCATTTTAAATGCATTTTCTAACCGGTGGTGGGTTTCTGAGTGGATTCAGGTGTGTTGTAACTTGGTACTTCCCCTCCCTTGTGAGACACAAGGATATTTAAACATGTTTTTAGTTTGTACCTGGTATCTATGATTAAAACCCCCCTGCGGGCTGAAACACTTTAACATCTTTGTACCATGTGAGCTGTATTAGTCACAAATTCTGGAACTCGCAGCTGTGTTGGACATAAGCTTTTGTATCCTTAAAGTGACATTAAAAGGATAAAAAATGTTTCCCTCCTCCCAATGTTCATGTTAGCACTTACCTTAAATGATGTTTCTTAATCCGATCTTCTTTCCTGATGTTTTCATCTGTCCCTCCAGCGGTGCGGCGGCTCTCCGATCCAGCGCTGACTCCTCTCTGCTTGCAGGCACTTCCGATCCAGCGATGTCTGCATGCGGGTGCACGCGTTCATACACTTGTGTCTCTGCTCGTCTCCCGCCCGAAAATCCGAACTGCGCATGCGCCCGCCCCAAGATGCTTTGCGGCCGCCCGAACAGTTTTGCTTTCTCAGGCGGGAGCGCGCAGCCAAAACAAGATAAGTTTAAACCGCTGTTAAAGCTTTAAAATAAAAAAAAAAACTGTTTGCCTTTATCTACCGTTTCCTAGCAGTAGATAAAGGCAAAATAACGGAGGGTTTAGAACCCCTTTAACCTGGAAAGGAAATTCAGAGATCACAATTTCTGAAGTTCTTTCAGAAGAGGAGGCCTTCTTTTTTCCTCAGTACTAATTTGCTTTAAGAAAGTAAACATCCTTTCTCAGAAAAGTGAGACACATAATACAGATTAAGTTTTGTTTTGTTTACTCAAAAAAACACAAGCAATTTAAAAATAAACAGTATGATACTGACAAATATTGCCAGCTCTACAAAATTAAGGTAATTGGGACAAAAGTAATTCCGTGAAGTTTTATTTCAAATATGTAATACAGTGGACCATCAAAAATGCTCACGATGATGAAAAAAAATACAAAACACAAAACATGGCCACACTGTTACTGTAAAATAAAGAGTGACCAATACAAAAGTATATTTAACTTACAGAGCAAGTCCTGACTTACTGTACATGGCTCATTTCTGCCACCACAAAAAAAATTGTTGGGATTTTTTTTCATCTTAAAAACAGAAAAGTCTTCAACTTGAAGTATGGTGCATCCCAATGGAATCTGTTTGGATGGTCTTTCTTTATAGAAATATTAACCATCTTGCTGTTGAACGAAAGGGTTTGGAATAGCCTCCATGCCATCTTGTGGGCAGATAAGAACCACAGAAGTCCCTCTGCAAACAACAAGTCCGAGTTGTCGTGTGTCCTCTGTTAATTTGTATTGGTCATCTGGATCTAGAATACATAAAAGAATATACTGTATGGTAATGCCTTAATACCTCAAGTACATTTATGGCAGTATGAAAACATGCTGATTTGTTTTATTAGAAAAACTGTCAATGTTTATTATCTTTCACTGCGCTAAATTATAAATAAAACAAGCAACTATTACAATATATAATAAAGGTTTATTTGATATGCATTACACACTGTGGAAGTTTCTTTTTTTCTGCTTTTTTTTTTTATTCATGTCAATGTTATTAGGGGTAAGGTCATCACTTGAATAACATGATACCGTTTGACAGATTTATTATACAATGGTTAGATAGCCATGTTTTGCAACAACATATAACCCAGTTTATGGATTTACAATGACGTACAGTGTAGACAAAAAGATAACCATAGCAAGAGGGAGGGTGGGGTTAGGTGAGTAGTAGCAAATGGAAAGGAAGGAAGGAAAGGGACACACACACACGTATGGACTAATCGCAACCTTGGGTACCAATTGTAGCTACGGCATGTCATAAGAACAAATCCCTTTAATACAAATTAGGTATGTTTAGAGATAAGGTACGTTTAAAACATCCACTATGCATTGCATATTGAAAAGTCCAGAGGATGGGGTGGGTTACTGCTGTGCTGCATGATAACAGAGTCCCAGGGAGCAGGTGGGTAGCTCAGGCATTTCATGAGGAGTCTAGAGTCTTGTAAGAACCGCAGTATAGGTTGTGGACGCTTAAAAAAAAAAGGTAGCGAGCAGTAGTGGGCAATCCACACAACATCTCAGGTTTCAAACTGGCCACAACCAGCTATATTGCATTTCCAGCATTATACAAACATAGGCAGAATTTCCACAGAAAAGAAAAAAGCCTAAAAAAAATAATCTTACAACTTTTACTGTTCATGTCACTCTCAAGAACCCTATGTCCAGCTACACAATTTAATATCTTGTACTTACATGGTTGCCATCACGCAGACCCTCTCTGCAGGCCATCTTAGCCTGGTTTCCACAAGGTTTAAGAGAGCAAGAGAGAATGAATGTGTAAACAGCTAAGCACTAGGGCTGGAACAACTAATCGACTAAGTCGATAAAAATCAATAATTAAAATTGTTGTCAATGATTTCCATTATCGATTAGTTGGGCTGCTTGCAGCTCCTCACATCCTCCCTCTCCCCGCTGCAGGCAGACACACCAACACCACTCCTGGACTCACCTCAAGGGTGCGGACAGGCTGGGCGGTCCAGGGAAAAGAGCTGAGGAGACCCGGCGGAATCGCCTACTGCACAGCTTTTGAGATGCCCGGGAACTGTGACGAGCACTAAGCAGAGTGTATAGAGCCTGTGTCAGCAGGGAGGCACAGGAAGTTCTGAAATTATCTCCTCCGCCCCCCCCCCCACAGTGCTTTGTTCACTTCTCCTCGAATCCCCGCTGCATACAGATGGGGGAGAGCAGCGAGGACCCAGAGAAGCCAGGACAACGCAATCTACCATGGATCGCTTTGCTATCGGCTGGTATATTGCGATTGACCTAATGGGTACCCCTGGTCTATACTATGTGCGTTGTGTGTATTATGTGTGTGATGGGCGCTGCGCAGATTATGCGTGCATTATGTGTGTACTGTGTGTGTGATAGGCGCTTCGTGTGTGTGTGATGCGTGTACATGCCGTGAGTGGCGTAATAACCGAGATGGGGAGGGGGACACAGAAGTGCAGATGTCCCGGGCACAAAGATGGGGGCGATGGCCAGGCAGGGAACACACTGCGCGCAGCAAAGGCAAATGGCGGTACACGGAGCTTCGCATGCAGCGTGTCCAGCAATATCCTCTCCTGCGCTCAGCTAGGCGAGAGCTGAGCGTGGTGAGAGAATAGATTTAATTTCTAGCCAATCGGCTCACACGTATGAATCCGCGCGTCAGGATGCGGATTCAAAAGGTGCAACTAATCGGATTCCCCCAGACAAAAGCGTCTGGTGAGGAGTCCAAGAGAGAAGTCCACTTGGTAATGTTTTCCTTTCTGCACAAGGTCTATCTGTGACATATGCCAGGGATGAAAGCTGTGCAGAAAGAATGAATGAATATGATATGTCCATCAATTATTTAATTAAATGTTTAAATATGTATTAAATATTTAATAATCAAATAACTAATATTTAACTATTAACAAAAAATATTTAATTGGCCAAATAATCGTTAGTTGCAGCCCTACTACGCACCTTCACATATTTAGAATAAATAATGTGAGTTTTCAAGAAACCCAGTAGTGCAAATGCACCTTTTTACCACCAAACTGATTTCCCAGTGCTTCTTTCGCAAAGGCTTAATCTCTGAACGGTACAAAAAAAAAAAAGGGGAGTACACACAACGTCAGAAGTACTCCAAACTAGGGATGCACCAACATTTCGGCCGAACGTGGTACTTTAGGCAAAATACCGAAAGTACCATCTTTCAGTTGAAAGTGCTGTGCATCACTTCCTGTTCATTCATGGTTGTGGACATGGTAAACATACTATCGCTACAGGTTAGGAAAGGACAGGAGCACTCAGTATAGAGGCTTCCTGTTCATTCATAACAGGGCCTGCAGAAAAAGAGACTCGTGTCCTCAATATTTTTCTATTCGAAAAAGGGAACTATCAGGGGTCTGTTTAGGCTCCTGATATTTCCCCAGAGCGAATGACAGTAAAGTTAAAAAATATTTAATGAAAAAGTAACAAAAAATAGGATTTTGGTACTCACCGTAAAATCCTTTTCTCTCCGTTCATTGAAGGACACAGGGAACAGATCGGAGATCCTTAGAAATTAAATATTAAAAATTTTTTTTTTTAAAGTTTACAATGCATGCTAAAAAAACCAAAAACAAGTTTACAATGTTAAACAGCAGTGTTTCAGTTTTGGATGAATTTGTAAAATCCACTTACAAACTTGTTATGTCTCTAAAGTACTCCTGCATCCTGATTAGAGATAAGAGTTTCTAGCTCTGCCCCTTGCTATTGGCTTTTGATGCATTAGACCACACTGTAAAATATTGGACTGAACTGAGAGCTCAGATTTAGAGATCCTACCATCAAAGGCCCTAAGAGACATCCTTTACACTCACCTCTCATATACTCTATGGTTCCATCCAACACAAGGTTCAGTAGAGGGTCAAATCCTTTCAGGACTCCGCTTGCTATTAAAACACAAATAAAAAAAAAGTGTTGGCAGCAAATTGACATGCAACTGCAAAATGATCACAAAGACAGCAACAAAGCTTTAATCTGAGGAGTTCCACAATGCACTGTATGTGTAAACAGATCAATAAAAAACACAATAAGGGTAATTTATCAATACTGGAGCAGTTGTCCATGGCAACCAATCAGCTTCTCATCAGTTTGTTCAATTAAGATTTGAAAATAAAAGAGAGAAGCTGATTGGTTGCCGTGCACAGCTGCTCCAGATTTTGTCTGCTCTAGTTTTGATAAATTCCCCTCAATGTCTACTGAGAATATCCAATCAGTAAATCTTTGGTAGGCCTACTAAACAGAATGTCAGACATCACACACACACAAACAAACACCAAAAAAAAAAAAGTTACAGTAGCCCTTCCTAACTACAAAAATGCTTTTTTTTTTTTGCTGTCTGTTTTACTACCAGAAAGATACTGCTCACTTCCTGTTCCAGTGACACAGCAGGAGGTACAGGAAAATGTCGCAACAGGATAAAGACAAACAGCAATAAATATTAGAATGGGGGTCGCAACTCTTATCAATTCTATTCAAAGCTTTAAAAAACCTGAAATTCTTTAAGGGTTCTTTCACATGTACATTGAGAATTTAATGAAATAGCAAGGCTGATTAACACGCTTATAGTGTTAGGAAATCATTCGACAGCCATTTTCAAGGCATTAGGGAGCAATCAAAAACACGTGCAAAATGCCCTGCAAGTAGGCCTCCTTCACACATGTGTTAAAACCCAGCATTAGAGATGCATTTTTAACGCTATTAATGCCCATGTGGGATAAAGCAATAGCAACTGCCCAGTGCTGTTCACACATGGGTGTTAGCGGTATATTGAATTGCTGCGTGTCAAAAACATGAGTGCATGTCACGTTCTGGAGGAATTGTCGCTGGACAAATGCATCCATTGAAGTGTATTGAAACGCCCCTCAAATGCTCGGTCAATGCTCCTATAGCATTTTTTGGCCATTTAAGAAGCGTTGCACTTGTGTTATAGGCATAGGAGGTTTTGCAATCTCAGAAACCACTGGATAATCATAGAGTGAGTGGACAGAGCAGGTGCAGATACCACTTCCTGTCAGCACACAGCCAGCGTTTTGCCAGCAAGAGGACAGCTTCTAGCCAGGTACTTAAAACCTGTGACAGACTGACCTATGCCACCATGTAGTGCCAGCTGTTATCAGTGCAAGCCATCTATCCAGCGCTTAGTGATAATGATCTATTCCAAATCGCATCATGTAGGATTACATGCCGACTGCCGCTGACCGGTGCAGCTGCTGTCACACTATCATTTACTTGAATGGGTACAGCAGCCACATCTGAATGGAGACACCTGGGATTGCTGCCACAGGAGTCCCAGAACATGGCATATGTCCCCATGTAAATGGGGCCTTATCTGTCAGTATTCTGGCCAGAACTCTAGAGCATACTGCAACAAGTTAACATGCCTTAAGCCGTGCTCAGACCATTCATCAGACATGCGTTTTTTTATGCAGCCCAAGTGTGTTGTGTCGAGTTGCCTAGGTATACTGAGATGCCATTCAAAATACACTGCGTGTAATGTAATGTAATAATGCAAAGGGCCCAACATGCTTCATATAACAAAACATGTTGGCAGGTTACACAGTGGTCAGTTTATCAATTAACAAATGGTAATTACTAGGGATGCAACAATGCCAAGTACCGTACTCAGTAAAAGTACAGATACTTTTCGAGCTCCAAGACTAGACTAGAGAAAAATGTAAAAGTTAGGAGGCAGCTGTCATTTGTAAGGAGCACATGGAGCTCCTGTGATTTGTACATCTCAGTTTTAATGTATACATTTTTAAAATAAATATATTTAAGTGATGCACCGATACCAGTTTTACAAGTACAAGTACTGATACTTGTCCAAGTACTCACAGATACGAGTACCAATACATTTTTGTTTATTGCCATGTAACAGTTTTCCTAAAACAATACAGACTAATGATTTCAGGACAGAGGTGGAGCACCAGAGCTAGGTCCAAGCTGCAACCCTGGTAGTTCTCGTGAAAATGCCAAGTATCAGCACTGGTATCTGAACATCCCTAGTAATTACAGGAGATTACAAGCCAACACTGTAATTTGGCTTGCCTAACAAATCAGTCAGGAGACATTTGTTCTCAAACAGCTACTTTCCTAAATTTGATCCTTATCGGAAATTGACAAAAGCAGAGTGCTTTGTCCCTTTTTCACCAAGAGCCGACCCGATGAGAGCAAACCATGAATCTCTCACAGTTACAGGGTAATCACTGTTTGTTCTTACATACATACCTTCTCTGCCACCTTGAAATTTCACTCGAATGTTCTTGTCTATGTATTTGGAGAGGTCAAGTATGCTTTCCTTTTTCTTCTTTTCTTTATCCTTGACAGGGTAAATGAAAAATTATATTTAACCTTTCTGCTACTTGAGAATAAAGTGACAAAAAGCATCAGAAAAGAGACATTGCTTTATTTCAGCTTCTAAAAAAAACAAATTCAAAATATAAGCTCTCTTCCCTGCTGCATCCCAAAATAACAAAACATGTTTTGGCTATACATACACTAATTTGGGAGCTCTGACTTCAGATCTACTTTAAACTACACCCACGGCAACTACAAATAATACAGAAATAACAATATGAAATAGGCACTGCTTAGTGGCCACATGGAAGTGTATGGTCTCACACTGGCAAAGTCCACTTACAAAAAAAAAAAAGAATTTGAAATAATAATTGCACACATCTTCATTAAGAAAAAATGTGCATTTATTATTTTTTTTGCATTGTAACCAGTAAAACATTGCAAGCGTGAACAGTGGATCATGGCTGTAGTGCAAATCCTTCATCCCATCCATGTCCATAGCATGGTACAGACATTAAGTAACATGGATGGGAGTAAGTATGAATGGACTACAAGAGTGGTGACACCACTGCACTTGTATCCCATAAAGAACTACAAGTACCTCTGCTGCCACACGGGACTTGTAGTTTCTTCATTCACAGAACCTGTTTAAAGACATGTAAATGGATGACACATCTGTGTGTGCAGAGCCGCATCTGATGCTGAGAAGCACCCACAATTTAGGAAAGTGAGTGTGCCTCTCTTGCCCTCTGCTGCTGAGGTCTAATCCTCACATTCTATGCAGTGTATATACATGTAACCAATCTGAAGCCGATTAATCGATGATTGAAAAAGTTGACAACTTTTTCAATAATCGATTATAATCGATTATGTCGATTAGTTGTTGCAGCCCTAATGAGGACGCTAAGGAGCATTCTATCTGTGCAGCATAGGAGGATACACACTTGAATGGCCAAAGAAGCAGGAAGCAGGCTCAGCAATTCGTGAGGATAATAGGGCTGCAGCTAATGATTACTTTCATAATCGATTAGTTGGCCGATTATTTTTTCGATTTTTCTGATAAATTAATTACATAGATACCATCCTTAATTTAAAATAAAATACACACATGGAGTGTTACAAACATAAGGTTTACTTCAGAATAAAACAGCATGCACAATTTTTTGCATTCACACTGCACTGGTACGCACGGCATTGCAGTACTGTGCGTTCCAGTGCGGATGATCACAATGTGGTAGGTGCGTTTGGGTTGCCATTTAAATGAATGGACCTGCAACGCACCTCCCGCAGCAGAATTTGTCACGTTGAAACCGAAAATTACTTTTCCCACCTTTTATAATTTTTTTAAATAATTGTATTGTAAGCACATGGCGCTTGAATAGTTTCAGCCAGGGAATGAAAGCTGCCAGTGGCAAGATTCCACAGACGTCAGCTAAATATAAATACAGCAGGTAGCTGGCTATTGCACCCGCCCACTGCTTGCTGTGCCCTCCTCCCAGCATAGAGGAGAGAGCAAGGGGATCCAACCAACTAATCAATGAGATTAGTTGACAACTATTCTCATAATCGATTAGTTGGTTGCAGCCCTAGAGTATAACTAGAGTATAATAAAAAATTCCAGCACAATAGGCAAAGATGGTTCTTTACAGTAAGAGCGGTTAAGGTCTGGAACTCACTGCCATCGGCAGTGATTTCAGCCAAGAGTGTAGATTTGTTCAAGAAACGTTTGGACAATTTCTTGAGGGACCGTAATATCCAGGGATACCAGTATCCCTAAGAATGAGATGATGCGTGGACCTATATGGGTTGGACTTGATGGACGCATGTCTTTATTCAACCCCAAATACTATGTAACTTTTTTTTTAACCTAGACAAAAATGAGCAATTAACCCATGTTGTGTGAGAGTAACCCCACTGCAAGGGATAAGAACACATTTGCACAAAGTTCTTTGGTAAATAAAGATCATTATAAACAAGCCCTCTGCTGATTTGGGGCTCATTCAGACTAGCTGCACCACTAATCCGTCAAGTTTTAGGGCTGGTTCACACTGTAAGCGATGACTGGTATTTTTCAGCAACTGATAAACAGCAGTCTTTGCTAAGGCACACAGAAAAAAAATTTCTACGTGCTCTGTTCACACTACAACACTGAATGGAGTGAACGGAGGGTACGCTTCAAATAAAGAAAAAAAAACAGTGTGATGCACTGAAATAGCGCGTCAAAACAACGTCCCCCGCTGCTGAACCTTACTCAGCACACTAGCCTACATGCAAAAATATAGGGCTTGGGCTAGTGTGCTGTGTGAGGTCTAGTGGCAAAGTAGTGCGATGTGCGTCACACTTTTTTTTTTGTTATTTATTTTAACAGTAGTAGACAAACTCTGGCCCTCCAGCTGTGGTGAAACTACAAAGCCTATAATGCATCTGCCTTCGAAAGTCATGACTGTGCCTGTCAGAGTCTGGCAATACATCACGGGAATTGTAATTGCACCACAGCTGGACGGCCAGTTTGCCCACCCCTGAAGACTGTGCATTTAGATCTCCGCACAGCAGCGTGGTGTGGTGCGCTGATCTGCAGAAAAAGATGCAGTATGTCTGCATTCTTCCACACCACACATAACACCCACATTGTGGTGTGAAAAGAGCACATAGAATACAATTGTTTTGTAGGTGTCCTAGCAGCGACTGGCATTAATTAGTTGAGGAAAAACACCAATCATCACTATTGATGTGAACAAGCCCTTATAATTTACATCAGGGGTGTGAAACTCAATTTATTCACAGGCGGTGTCAGCATTATGGTTGCCCTCAAAGGGCTGGCTGTATCTGTAAAGGTGCCCATACACTGCTCGATTCTCATACGAGAATCGCGGGAAATCCCGCGATCGTACGAGAATCAAACAGTGTGAACGAAGACGTGCGACCGTTTCTACAGTACGGTCGCACGTTTTTTGTCTGAGGAGCACGCTAGAAAAGCAGCCGAAAATCGTACGATTTTCGGCTGGTTTGAACGGTGCTCGGGAGACAAATGCCAAACGGGCCGGTGTGCGCACGCGCACACCACCCGTTCAGCATTGCGGTCATCGGAAGCCCGCCCCTCAGGGGGGTGGGCTTGCGATGATCGAGAGTACGATCTGCCTGTCCAAGATAGGCAGATCGTACGTTTTTTTAATTACTTTACAACCATCGCAAGACTAAAGGTCTTGCGATGGTTGTAAAGTGTATGGCCACCTTAAGACTATATAAATATATCTACTTACTCTATCATATTAAATAATTGCCTCTGCATTCACTTATTATTAATAACTAGAAGTCTAGGATAATGGTAAATACCATAATAGTGCGGACTCTCAGGCGGCTGTGCGGGGTCTATGGTGGGCTGTGCGGACTCTCCGGTGGCTGGGCAGGGTCTATGGTGGGCTGTGCGGACTCTCCGGTGGCTGAGCAGGGTCTATGGTGACTCTCCGGTGGCTGGGCAGGGTCACATGTTAACCACACGTTATAATCTGACCATACAATCAAGTTGAGATCTACTAAAACTATGTAATATGAGCACCTATCTAGTCTATACAATCAAGCTGCATTCAATCCAGCAAGCTCTTGCACTACAAAGTTGCTGGTAAATCTAAAGGAAACTGTACTATCAGATTGTAAGGTGTGTGGTGAGCTTTAGGAGGGCTGTGCAGTCTCACCAGATTTGCTGCAAAATCTGCAAACAGGTGCCACGATTCACAGGAAGGCTGCCGGGATCTTGCTGGGGACCAGTGAAGTCCGTCACCTGTTTACAATGTCGGTTTCAGTTTAAAAATTTGAAGCTGCAGGGCCACATGAAATGGCCTGGCGGGACGGATTTGGCCAGTGAGCCTTGTGTTTGACACATGTGCACTCCAAGATATATGGCAGAACTGAGAAAGCATGAAATGACGGCAGAACACCATGTCCAGCTAAACTACCAGCATAGCCCAAACAGTGCATGTGCTACAGTTCTGGCCTAGTCTAAGCAAGCTTCACAATGCAGCAACTGTTACACAGACAACGACTCCCCCTTTACCCAACACATGCCAATAACAAGTCCCATGTAGTCCAGAAGGCAAAGGCTGGTTGGGAATAACCACACAGTCTACTTCCTATTATTGTGTCCTATTTTACTGAACAGTAAACATGCTGCCATATAAACATAACATTTTATCACTTCCTGTGCCCTGCCATTTCCACCAACACTTACCGCCATCTTTCCGCGCCTTTACCTCCCGGCCCGGTAGCTGACACTTTAACCATTTCATGGGGGTGACCAAATATTCTACTTCAGACACATCACCTAATCTTCATCCTGTCTTCGGTCTCTTTACGCAGGGAGAAATGTAAACGTTTTCTATGATATTCTCAAAAAAACTAACAATGCGTGTGTGTATTAAACACAAAATCATATGTTTGCCTCCTATTTTTTGGTAGCGTCCGAAATCCAGGCAATTGGTCTCCTAACGATGTTTATTTCTGTCTTCAACACAAGAGCCATTTTAAAGAGGCACAAAGCCTGTAGTTAAATGGGTTTCAGCCTTCGCAAACATGGCCGCCTTGTGTTAATGAAATGTACTAAGCAGCTGCGCTCTAGTGCACGTCTGTTCGCCCAACTGTATTTCCTGCCAAACGCCGTATGTTCGTTTTTATAGTCATATAAATATAGCGATTTAATATAACAATGTTATAAAATAGTTCTCCTGACGTTTCACCTCGTAGAGAGAAAATAGGAAAATGAAAAGCATAGTGCGCACATCTAGCAATAGGATAAATGCCCCCTGCCGGTACCTTCTTGTAGTGCACGTGATATGCAGTATGCTGAAGGCAGTGTGCAAGCGGGGATAAGTGTGATGACGTCATAACTCTCCCCCTCCACTCCCGGCCGGGGACCCCTATCCCTGAGGCCGGGAGGAGTACAGGAGGCTGGGCCTGGGCACAACCCGGCAATTGCTCAGTGCGCATGTGCAGAGTATGGAGCTGACTGAGTAACAGCTGACTAGCAGTGTTGTTGGTGCTGAGGGCACCGACAGCAAATCCAGAATGAAGAGCCCCGTTATTCTCCTCACCTGGGCGGCAACATTGGCCAAGGTGAGTGCAGAGAAGGCCGAGCTGGGTGTAGGGGGAGGCGGCATTTGATGCCCTTTTGTCTTCTCGCTGATTATATGGTGGTGATGTGATCGCCGACATCGCCGATTTCTTCTCTGACCTGTATGTTTGTTCTTGTTGAGGATGAGGGAGGCTCCCTCATAATCCAAACTTCCATGCTACAAATATTGTGATCGGTTGCCTTTGCTTCATACTAGAGACGCTATGGTGCTTGAAAGATCAGAACTAGATTAGGGCGAAATGGGGCCCTTAGGCAAGGTAGCAGCTTGGGGCCCCTTATCCCTTTAATGGATGTGGATTGTCATAAGCACAGAGAAGCTGCTCCAGTTGTATTGTGCTGGCATTGCTCCATCAGACACCAGCTGCCTATAGCTTTGTATCCTCCCTTGTGAAGTGACACGCCGGTGCACTGCTTTGATGTGTTATTCTATCCCTCTCTGCATCAACATTGTAGGCAACCCAGGCACTCCAGCTGTAGTGGAACTACAAGTCCCATGAAGCTTTGCAAGACTAAGCCACAGGCATGACTCACAGCGGCAATATGGGATTTGTAGTTTTCCCACAGCTGGCATGCCGAGGTTGTCATCCCGTGTTGTAGCTGGGCCCCTTGGACACTAGGCGTAGACTCCTGCCTATGTTGCCTTGTGATTGACCCGTTTCTCCTTTTAAAGGAGCATTTGTGATTGTAGTATAAACATGCAGCTTATATTGCCCAGACATACATGCCTATCACTTACGCCTGGTTCACATCTGCACATTCCTGGGAGACGCGTCTGCTGCGCATTTCAATGGGGTCATACATGATGTGAATGTGCAGCTATGTAAAGTGCTGCGTAAATTGTCGGCGCTATATAAATATTTGTAATAAATATAAGGTGCTTCTGCAACACGCGGGATATGTTTTTTTTTTTCTTCCATGTTTGTACATTTGCACACGCAGAAACCCACGTGATTTGCTGGCTGTGTTTGGGGTGCCATTAATAAATAATGGCACCGCTCATGCGCGGATCGCTGCACGTTCTCGGAATGCCCAGGTGTGAACCAGGCCTCAGCAGACGCTGCCAGTATTACACTTTTTGAGGGGAACAATCACTATAGTAGGAAAACCCATCCATTCTTCCCCCAACCAGTGCAGGGGTGGGCAACTCCGGCCCTCCAGCTGTGCTTTAACTGCAAATCCCATCATCCCTCTGCCTCTGGGAGTCATACAATGCCTCATGGGACTTGTAGTTTCACAACAGCTGGAGTTGCCCACCCCTGAATGCCTAATGAGGTCACGCAGTGTCCATCGACATATGAAGGGATGATTCAATAAAGCATTTGTGCCACTTTTCTGGGATTATGCCCGTGTTAGAAAATCCTGCATCAAATTATGAAAGCCGTGCAACAGTTGCCTTGCTTTTTCTGACGCGTGTAACAAATTCAGCTCTTCAGTGTGACACTTTTACATTGTGGCGCTATGACTGCGATAAATTCATTAAGAAATTCCGCCATGTCGGTGATAAGTAAAAGGGGGGTAAATAAGACCTCTTCCTTGTTGAGGTAAATTATCTTACACATGTAGTATTGTGTCACAGACTGAATTCTATCTGAGGTAATTCTGCCCTGCTCACATACATGTCATGTTCATATTACAAATTAATCTGTGGCAACTTGTGCCATTTGTTGCACAGGGGAGAGACAGATTTCTAAGGAGTATCTACGACACTCTGGGTATGTTAACACAGGCCTCCACGCTAACCCCGCATTCAAACCAGCGCGTCATTGTCACGTGTGTGTTTGCACGTTCATGTGCTGTGTTTGCTGTGCATCCCCATTGGGTTCAATGGGGCCTGAACGTGCCACAAACGCAGCAAAAAAGATAATGTAGCTGATCTTGCGACACACGTTCTGCAGATTTTGCAGGACGTGTTCCTCAGGAAGACGTGTGCTTTGCTCCGCGTTTGCACGTATGAAAACACACACAAACACGGAGCAAAAACACACGTCTTCCTGGCCACAAATGAATGGCAGTGCAAGTGTGTTGTGTTTCCGTGAATGCATGCCAAACGAGCATGAAAATGCATGCTTTGGTGCACGTTCACGGAACACGCAGGTGTGAATGCAGGCTAAAATGTTCCATTATACCATGCAGGCTGGTGTCTATTGCCCTGCGTTTACTGTTTACTTTTTTTTTTCTTCTAATTTTATGGAATTGTCAAAGTGACATTTTATTCACATCTATCTACCGCCGTGGTGCTGACATCAGGCGAGCTCCAGTGTCTTGTGAAAAAATTAAGCATGTCTTCATTTTTCTGCAACTCACCTGATGGCGGCATCACAGTGTGAACAGGACACATGGAGAACAATTGTTTTGTAAGTACCCTTGCTGTGACTGGCATTAATCTGGTATGGAATACCTGCCAGTCACTACACATTGTATGAATGTATCTTTCATGAATTCCAGGGAAGGAATATAACCAACCAGGTCTAGTGTCAGCCATTTTGATGCTTCTCTCTAATATTTACTTATGTGCTGTAGCAATGGTCCCTTTCTAGAACTCATGGAAGGGGATTAATGAAAACTGGAGCAGACAGAATCTAGAGCAGTTGCCCATGACAACTCAGAAGTAAAGCACTTTTTTATTAAATTGTCACATGCGTCATACAGCCAATGTTTCGGGGCAATGCAGGGTCTCCTTCTGGGCAACATAGTCTTGCCTAGAAGAAGGGACCCTGCGTGGCCCGAAACGTTGGCTGTATGATGCATGTGACAATTGAATAAAAAGTGCTTATGCTTCTTGCACACATCATCGAATGCTGGTGACTTCTGTTATGGACTGTATCTGGCACGGCGCCATCCGTGTTGTCACTTCATGCACCAACCCTCCGGCAAGGTCTTTATGCTATATGGCGTGCAGGTGATTACGTGTTATCCTTTGTAACATTAAATCACATTACTCCTCATATTTCCATATTGTTTTCTATGAGGAGTATGTTTCTAAAGCCAAGAATCTAACATTCACTGCAGATGAATCCCCCCGGTGTGTGTTTTTAAATGCCACTGATTGGTTCACTATCAGTAAATGTTTGGTGGAAGTCACATTCACTGATTTAGAAACATGCCCCTTAGCTTTGTGCCAGTTTTGTTTGGCATGACATTCTAAGCCTCGGGCTGGCCATACGCCCATCAATTTGTTTTTTGTTCAGCCTGCGGGCTGAATGACAAAAATTGACCCGATTCCTCCATCAACACAAACGGCGTGTCGATCTAGGAATCGCCGCTGTTTACATTGTATTGGCACCTGTCGGAATACCCGATCAGAGCGGGCAGCTCATTGGCTGCCGGCTCTGATCGTACGAAGATTTTCCAGCCGGCTCCTTGGATCAGCTGGTCGAGGAATGCCGGCTGAAAGGGGGCAGACAGCCCCATACACTGTGCGAATTTCGGCCGGTACATTAAAAACCGTCCGAAATTCGGCCAGTGTATGGGCACCTTTTAGTTATAGAGTATGCTTACTGAGACAAAGTGATGACGGCAATTTAAAAGGCAGCATGTGCTTTCATAAGAGTATCCATGACTCATTGGCCTCACCTAAGAGAGATTGCTACCACCCCTTGTCAAGGGAAAGTTTAAGGGGTCATTTACACCATAGCGTTGCAGTAAATGCGTGGGATCCAATCGTTTAGCACACACTAGGTTTGCTGGTGCGTTGCTTTGCCATTCATTCTGAATGGCACCCCAAAGCACCATCGGGCAGGCTCCAATAACGTGTTAGATTGCTGTGTGGTGATAAAAAGTAGCACATGCGTTACTTTTTCTTTTACTGCATGGCAACGCAATGCACGTTATTGTGGTACTGCACATTGTGTGGCACTGCAATGCATGCCCAGGAGGCGTGTTGGGGTGCTATTTAGAATTAACGACAATGCATCACACCTAGAACATTGTAACAACCGGTGCTGCTGACAGTCGGGACGGGGTCTCTGAGAGACTAGTTCCCCATAAGGCCGCGTCAGCAGGCAGTGGGCGGATTCTTTAGCCAATAGAATTTGACACGTATCATACTCCTGTGCATCCCACCCAGCAGATATA